TTGCGTTTACTATCTGAACATATTCCTTTATCTTTATTTATATACAGTACCCCCCTACCCTGCAGAACAATAGAAATTCTGACTGCTTTTGACTCTTGTTATTAATTTATAACCAAAATAATCTAGCCTTTTTCTCTCAAGCTTCTGAAGGGATGTTCGTAGACCAATGATGTGGGAGTTTTAAAACATAATTTTAAAACTGAGGCCAAAGACTTGGCATTTTTCTTTTTTTATAATACTGTACGTGATGAAAGACTGGCAGTGAATTATTTTACATTTGTGAAAATGTGCTCCCACATGCAGAAGTACCTACTGTATATAGTCTGTGGTCACAATAAATATTTAAAATACTTTCACAGCTAAGACTCTTATTAAAATTAAATACACTTCTATTTTTGTAAAAAGGTGTTGGTTTACTGATAGGCCTCCTTTCGGTGATTTAGTCAATATACTGTAGTAGATTTGCAGAATTATGAAGACTCTTGGGATTGTCTGCTCATCTGAAGACATGATGATTTGTACCTTGGCATTTGTACTGTCTCATTGCTGAAACTGACTGCACAAATCCTGAAGTTTTAATATTCTCTGTAAAACATAGTTGACCTGTAATTTTCCCACTTAGATAGAACCTCTCAACGTGGCTTATAGAAACATGCTTGATTCCTAAAGGAAGAGAGATTCAGATTCGTTTTTTATTTGCGTCTTTTTTTTTACGTTACCAACATCTGCAGCTCGTTGGCCTCCGCTGCCCCACGGTCCCCCAAGATTGAGCCCTTGAACACATGCAGGAGATGAGCTGGATGAGTTCTCTGTGTGCAGTGATTAATAGCCAGCTTAGGAGCCTCTTCCACCACCTCGGTCTACATAGGTTACTGACTGATCTGCGGAAGTGAGAGTCAGCTGCTGGAATTGGGCTTCAGCCACAGGGGGCCCCTGAGTCCTGCTGTACAGGCCACTGGATCAACTTGCTGTGCTTGAGTTAAACTCCTGCTGAAATACTGCAGCACATCTTGTATGGTATTTACGCAGAATCCCTCAATCCCTCAAAAAAAGACTAAATCTGTCTCCTTACAAGTCCATCCATCTACCTGCCTTACTGGATGCAGAATATTTCTTTCCCCATCCCCTGTCCGGTCCATTTAGAAATACAGCGATTTGGGGGCTATACTGGTTCTGTCTGAGACCACTTCTGTAGCACAGCTTCAGACCTAGATTTGGAGATGGGCTTTACCTCACTCCAAAAACTCTGGATCAGATCTTGATAGTACTCATTTTTAATGCCTCACACTGTATACAGTACATACTGAAAAAAGGACTGAGTTGGGTAGAAACTGAAATATAGTAATCTTATTTAGATGATTGCATTTACACGGTGAGTTTGTAACATTTCTCACACTGAACACTTGCTTTTGGACTCAAGACCTAATTGGATAGGAGGTCCATCTCTGCGATTCAAATAACAGTTTGAAGAGAGGACATTTCAGTCATCAGAGCAGACCTTTGACCTTGAAACAGAATCTGCCCACAGTGGAACAGGAAATCAGTATCACAGCTGCCACCATCAGACCTTGTGTATGTTTTCTGTTACTTAATCCTTGTTAAAAATGAACAAAACACAAGTACTGAAGTAAATTTAAAATGTAGTTTCATTGTTTCAGTTCTTCACTTTGCCAATAATACAGTACCATAAATTGTGGCTCTCCAAAGTACACTGCTAAATTGCAGTAAAATTGCAGAAGCAATAGAGCACTATTTATACTTGGAGTTTCACAAGAATTGCACTCGGACAGAGGTAGCCTGTGCTGGTTATGAAGACTAACAGCATTTTTCAGAGATTAAGATTGAATGATTTGTGTTTTCAGATGTAAAACAATATTCTTAATTGAAATACATTGACACGCATAAGAGGGCCAATAGTATAATGAAGTAATTTAAAGACCTTTTGACTTCAAAACATGAGCATCCTTCAGCTTTAAAGGGCAAGAGTTGGCTTCTTTCAATAAATGAACAGATGTCTTCATGAACTGATCAAAACCTTGAGTTTGTTGAATACCTGTATAAATCTTAAGCATGACAATCAAAATCTTATTGGATGGTTGTTCTTCCCTTCAATATGCTTTTCAGAAAGGTGTGCCATAATCATTTGTACACACACTGTGGCAGTGCTCCAGCAAAAAATATTTTCAAGTTTAAGAGACCGATTATTTAGTCTCAAGATTTTGATTTAGATCTATGATCCAGGAGTGGCAAGTTCAAGCCTGGGTCAAGTCGCTAGCTGAATATGACCGGGATTCCCCAAGTGCCAACCATTGTTTGGCTCATTGCCATCATTGGTAGGGTGAAAAATGATTGGACAGAGCTTGTTCAACTCTTGGCCAAAATCAGAGGCACTTGCTACAGTATGTTACAGTGCTGTCGCCTGTCCTCCAATCATTGCAGAACCTTTGGTGCTTGCTTGTTGTATTAAAGACACTAGCTTGCTTGTGATGCATTAAAAGATTATTGACTTAAAGTTGGGCGGGTCACAGGAGTCTGCCTACGCTTCCTCATTCTCCTCTGTGTACGATCATGAGGTTCATAGCTGTGAGCCAGGACATCCAAAAAAAACACAACTGTCGACTCTAAAATTGGGTGTGTATAACACAGAAAGTACATAGCTATTCTAAATTTAAATAAAATAATTTGATTAAGTATAGTCCACAAAACTCACTCAGTTATTTTTATGCTTTATTTAAAATCACAAATCTGTGATAACTGCAAACCTCCATTTTAATATAACCCAGGGCTAAAGCAAAACAGGCTACATGTTTGTTTTTCACTCTGCATTTAGCTTCAATGATAGTTTGCATTTTATTTGCACAGTAAAATAAACCCCAAGGTTAACATGTTTTCCAAAGGACGTTTTCCAAATAAGCCATCATTATATGGAAATTAGTGCAAATAATAAAGTTCAGTTATGTCTTCATTGTCAGTGACTGCTAGCAAAACCTGAGAGACCAAATTAAAAAATGAAGAAAATATTGTTGTTGACATTATGATGAAAAACACCAAGAAGAATTTTTTACAGCATTTAATATTTATCAAAATCCTCCTATTTTCTTATTGTGTGAAATGGTTTGTTTTGAAATTCACAAGTAGCATTTGATGGATATGTTTGTTTGCTATTAGATATTTATTTGTATGGAATTTAATTTTCTGTAGCTGTAAGGACACCCATTGCCTATGTAAAACCATTCTTTTTTAATTTTACTTTATATTTCTTAATAGTTATAAAACAGTCCTATTGAATATGTAGACATCCAAGAGCATACTTAATATTCTCTTTGTTCATAACAGGCAATCCAGAGCAAGCAAATGAGAGGGAGTAGGTCCTAATACAATGTGATAATTCTTCTACTGATATAAACTTTCCATGCCGGCTCGAGTTCAGTTCATCTGACTAATTTTTATTTCAGTGGCATTTCTTCTTGGCACATTAGAAGCAAGTCCCACACCGCAGATGTGGTGGGCCATTTTGTGGCAACAGTTCGAAAACTTTATCTCATGAAAGAAACGTCATATCTGGAGCTGTGGCGATGTGACCATTTCACAAATCTCACAGATCTAGAAGTGAAACTCAGTGAAAAAGTTCTTAATCCTTAGACAGTGAAATGCTAGTTAATCATAATGGGAGGGTTTCCAAACAAGTTTTCCAAGCCGGATGATGATTGTGTTTATGTTACTTGTGATTTATTATGGGCAGTGCAATAGCTTTGAGCGTACGCTAATAAGAAATAAACAAAAATTTATATTTGATCATTGGTTTGTTTCAGTAAGAGAGGGGAAATGTTTAGAAAAGGAATCATACATCATCTCAATTGTCTGGGTAATAGCTAGTGATCTCATAGTTTGAAGCCCTGCATTAAATTGAACTGTAAAAAGCCACAGGCAGTATTTTGAATGAGTCTGACATTTCATGGCCTCTTGATCATTTGGCCTCTTAAAAAAAAGTACATCAAGAATTATTCAAAGATCGCAGACTTGTTTTGATGTTTACCAGGATAAAACTAAGTGGTGAGTACGCTGCCCAACAAGGGCTCTTATATTTTTACAATGATTTTATACCATTGCACCATGATTTACAACACCACTTTTTGAGGGATAGCTGTAAGCAGCAGAAGCTGTGTCTTGCATGACAAATACTTATTGTTTTTATGTGTTTGCTAAAAACAGTACATATTACATGCCATTCATAAAATATAAGTGAATAGATGGAATAAACCTTTCTAATTTCTAGAATAAGGAAAGAAAAACATCCTGAATGGGTTCAGCTTTGAAGTATAGTATACAATGAGGAGTCTTATTTACACCTAAAATTGAAACTAAATATTAGACCTATGTAGCCATTTTATAAAAAAAACTTGTGAGATATATCATATTCAGTGCGATTGCTAATGCATGCTTTCAGATGTTCGACATAGAGGCATATAAGACAAAAGATGTTTTGAATGTTTGTACATAGAAAATTCCAATTTCCAAGCAACTCAGCAAGCTTCTCCGACATTGCTACGTGATTACTTAAAAATATAGTTGTTTAAAGGGTATTTTAAAAATATTTCATATTTTATTGATTGAATATAAAAAGACGTTGTTTTCCTTCAGCATGGAATGTTTTTTTTCTTTATGCTTTTTTCAGCAGCAGCAGAGAGAGGACCAGAAGGAACCCGTTGTTGCAGCTGATGTGACGGAAAGTTCTGGAAGAAAAGGTTTATATCCCTCACCTTCCATGGCACACCACCACCTCAGAAGAAGACTTCTGGGTTGACATCAGTCATATTGTAAATCTCATAAAGGAAGGACTCTCTAATAAAGCACAAGGAAGGCAGTACTTTAAAATGCTAGAAGGTAGAAAACAATATTGGAGTTAATCAGTTCTGTTGTTAAGTGTTTGTAATCATGAATCATGGACTTTTGAATATGTGAAGTGAATCTGCAGTAAATAAACACGCTGAAAATCCATACATTTTCTCTTTTATTGCAAACAATATAATACAAAAGATAAGCTTCTTTAAAGACAATAACTTGTTAAACTCATCTAAAGAAAACAAAAGGTTTGTTCAGTTGCATTAAAAGTTGTAAAAGTCAGTACTAAGATATGTAATACAGAATAAGAAATAACACCTTTTTTAAAAATAAAAAAGTATGCTGGTAATTTTATAAAGAAACAAATCTTCACAATGCAGCCACAGCTTCAAATAAACTTTTTTTTCATGTTTGTAAGAATGAAAAAAACTTTTCCAGTTTTTTCTTTTAAAAAAATTAAATCAAGTTTTATCACAATTAAAACTCATCTGTACACAACTAGATACAAGATTTAACAAAAAATCTTTTAAAAAGAAACATTTACAAATGATAAATAAACAAGATGGTTACAATTTGTACCATATTAAAACAAGCATACCCTTCCACTGAGAACCTGTTTGTATATTTTATATATATACAGAGGGTAATTCTTTTAATTTTAATTAGTTGTATACAGCTGTATTAAAGAATAAAATGCAAATAATTACTTTAAAATAAAATTAATGCTAATAAATAAATTAAGAATGGAAGGGTTGGAATAAGGGGGTGTGTGTTGGCGCTGAAATACTACACTAACTTGGTTATGACCTGCTGGAGATTCTAGTGTTAAAGGCCATTTCCCATACTTGCTTAGCACAGGGTAACAAATAGAAAGTAGCATCCCAGCTGTGGCTTCTATTACAGTGTGCTGGTACGCTGGTACTACGGTACTACGGTGGTAGTTTGAAACTGAATCTAGCTCCATAGGCACTGATGGTACAAAGGCAGTATCTTCAATTAAACAACAACAAAAAAAGCTCACAGCTGACTACATCCATTCTAAAGTAATGACATTAAGGCCTATGGATGCAAATCTGCCTAGCATTTGTAACCTTTGAATCTTTCATTTGCTTAGGAAAGCAAAAAAAATATCAGGTAATCTCTTTTCTTTTATGACTGTCAGGTGACCAATGGGCTGGGACCCATTTTTTCACACCACCTCTTCTCCTTTTTTAAGTTTTTAGTCTTGTTTCTTTTAAAAAGGAGCTGCAAAAACAAAGTTACAAAAGCACAATACATTATTGCAAGGCATAGTCAGAAAGACAAAGAAAAGATGGAACATTTTGTTTTCTGTACAAAAATAGGTTTGTCAAAGAGACATAAGGCCATTGAAGACTGCACTACTAAAAGTGGTTTATAGCTGATTTTGAGCAAAAAATAAGAGCTTTTCTTTCATCTACAAATACGTATAAATCCCCCAAAATAATAAACTGCAAAAAAGTAATGAAACATACACAGTACATACTAAAAATATTTATAATTAATGTCCTCATAGAGGATTTTTTCACACTTTTTTAATTATGGCTAAAAAAATAATCAAACTCCAAGTGTAAAAAAGGCACTGAGTGAACCATTCCAAGTCTTTTTTTCCACTAGTCAAGTCCAGCATTTTTTTTGTGTGGCAGACCTGATGGATTTGTTCATTCTTAGACATGGAATGGTGGCACAGCCGCCGCTGCCTGTAGCAGTTTGTCAGCAAAGAGGCCTTCAGAAAAAGTCAATGCTCTGTGTGGGCATGTCACTCAGGGCCTGGTTAGCTGTGTGTAGACAGGCTGCTGTTCCCAGTGCTGAGGACTGTGGTTCTGGGGGATGGAGGGTACCCCTGTAGTGTCAGCGATGGGGGTGTACATGGGTCTCTGACTCGGACTCATGTAGGTGAAGGTGGAGTACAGGCTGGAGCCCTGGCCGGTAGCGTGGCTGTAGTAGGAATTGGCACTCTGGTGGTCTGGATAGTCATACTGGGCACGTGTGATGGTGGGGTAGGATGAGCTGTAGTGCTGGAGGTTGAAGGAGCCGTAGCTAATGTGCTGTGGAGAACTCTGCTGCTCGCTGTAGTGGCTCGGGCTGAGCTGTTCGGTCTTGATGTGTGTGGCTCTCTGCTGGCCCTGCCCCTGCTCGCCGCTCAGGTTGGTCAGGGAGTGCTGCTGCTGCTTGGATATCCAGCTGTGTCCGCTGGCACCCGCGGCCTGGGTGACTGAGGTGCTGCTGATGCCATAGCTGCCTGTGTACGTCACCTGCCCGCTCTGCCCGTGAGGGGGGTTGGTGACTGGCACCCCAGGGTGGCCGTTGGGTGGCAAGTACTGGTCAAATTCATTGACATCGAAGGTCTCAATGTTGGAAATGACATCGCTGCTCAGCTCTCCGATGTCAACATCTCTGAAGTCAATGTGCGGCTGTCTTCCAGTTCCTTCCTGAAGGGGGCGACCTTCGCGCTTCAGGTCGGCTTTGCCAGGCTGCACATCTGTTTTTGGAGTGGTAGGAGGAGTGGGGGGGCCCTGGGACTGGCCTGTGTGGGAGAAGGACAAGGCAGGAAAGGTAAATAACTAGGATGATTTCAGCAAATTGGATTAATAAAGACACACTTCGAGAAATTAACCAAAAAAAGATAACATTTTATGAGCTTTCCCCTGGAGAAGGCAATTATGCTGTTACACACCGCTCCTGGGGAGGTATCATAAAAGAAGAGATAAGTCGGTAAAGTAGTGACAGGTGTTATATTTGCATTGCAGCTCGTAAAGTTCTGTAATAATTTACCGGTAGTTCGATATCAACTCTCATATAGACTATGAAGGCTCCCCGGACTGTTAAGAATATTTTAAAAAATGAAGCTGAACGTTTCTGTTTGGTTAGATCGCAAATGAAGAAGGAAAGGACGAAAACACGTCGGTTAAATAAAGGCTAAACCATTACTGGAGCCTGCATAAAAATGCTTTCACCGGGCTTGCCGCTCACCTGAGTGCTCTCCAGGAGAGTGCACCTCACTCATGCTGGACGCGGGGGAGTCAGCCTGCTGCAGCGCTTTGAAGATTGCATTCGGGGAGATGTGAGTCTGCTCTGTTCCGTCTTCGGGCTCATTCTGCCCGTTCTTCACAGACTTTCTTCGTCTCGGCTGGTATTTGTAATCTGGGTGATCTTTTTTGTGCTGAACCCTCAGTCGCTCGGCCTCTTCCACAAAAGGACGCTTTTCTCCTTCGTTAAGCAATCTGGGATAGGGCGGGGAGGGGGGATAAAAGGTGGACACATTATAGTGTGCAGCAAGGCAAGTCAGCCTCCTCCCCTGCAGAGCACCCGAGAAGATTAAAAAATAATGCACAATACGGTATATTGCAAATACACGCGGGCATAGCTATAAAATAGATTCCCCATGACCAAACGTAAACAAAGTTAAAATTCTGTAAAACGCAATTAGAAGCACATGCAGACTATCAACTTTCATTTAGTATATACTGCTAATGGTCAATCGACGCGGATGTTTTTTTCACCAGAAAGATAAGAGTTGCGCAACGTTTAATCAGACTACAATCAATCCCGCAGCCCAACGGTCTTCGCTGTTAAAATCTGCAGGGTACAAATCACAACCTTAAATTCTCGGAATATATCCAGTCACCCCTCCATGCCTACTTGTTCAAAACGCAAAGGAAGCAAGGAAGCAAGTACTCACCTCCAGAGTTTGCCCAGTGTTTTGCTGAGTTCGGCGTTGTGAAGGTGAGGGTACTGGTCAGCCAACTTTCTCCTGGCAGCCTGTGCCCACACCATGAAGGCATTCATGGGTCTCTTGACGTGAGGTTTGTTTTTGCTGGAGCCGTTCACCCTGACTGGCATGGGGACCAGGGTCCAGTCGTAGCCCTTCAGCACCTGGGAGACCGCCTCTCGGATGCACACGGGGAATTTGTCGTCCTCGCTGTCCTTCTTGAATTCAGTGATCTGCCCGTTGTTCTCTGAGGGTCTGGTGTTCTCGGTATCGGACCCAGATCCAGACGGGCACGGGGACCCTGCAGAATCCTCTGACATGCTCGGACTCGGGGCATCAGAAAGACACTTCTCTTGTTCGTCTGTCATTTTCATGAAGGGGTCGAGTAGATTCATACGAAAAATTGAAAAATAAACGCTACCTATGAAATAAAGTAGGAGACCGAAAAAATAACAAGACCTAAAGCCAGTTATTACTATACGAGACCCTCAGTTCTTAAAGTAAATATGCGAAAAAGCTTTCAATATCATAAAAACTGCAAACTTTATTTGCCCCAGCAAACAAAGCTGTCAAAAGTTTGCAAAAGTCCCTTAACCGATCTGTTTTCTTCAAAGCACACCTTCTTTAAGGCAAATCGAAAAAAGCAAACTCTTCACGTCTGCGTACACTATTTCTCTTGCGTAGGAGCACAGAAGATGCAATTCGCTTTACTCTTTCACGAAAATAGAAAGAAAAGTGTTCCTTTTCAGTTTTATTTCCAAGTTGTCTGGGAGTTTTGAAGACTGAAAAATCTACTAGCAGCCTGACTAATAAATACTGCTTCAGGAGAGCAAGAAGATGATTGGACAGCAGAATTTGGGGCGGAGATGGAATTTGATCTTTTTTCTTTTTTTTTTCCCCTACCCTGAACCCAAATGTGCCCGGAACATTGATTCTAAAACTAAATTCAACTTCTTACTCTTAAAATATCATATGAGGTAGACTACACGCACTTTTGCAGTTAATTATTAGTATGTGCAATTGGCTTTTTATGTAATCACAGTAATTTAGATAGAATGTCCTTGGTGTAAAGGCAACAATTGTATCATTTTTTTCTCAAGATATGTGATAAATAACTCAATTCTATTTCCTATTATATTTTGAAGATTAAATAGCTATTTAAGAAAATGCCTAGCATTTCACAAAGCACTTTGCTTACCCAATGCACATCACTACCAAGACGTGTTACATGTTACCAGTTATATTTCCACACTTTCATCAAATGATATATGTAACCCTTTCGTCAGAATGTATATATAAATTAGTATAAGTATTGACGTTTTCTTTTTTCCCCGACGAATCTGCCGTACCGTGCTCTCTATCCTTGCTCATTGACACACAAAACCATTGAATTGTTTTTTTAAATACTTTCCCAGTTAATTGTCATTGCATGTTATTATGAATGCTTCTGTGCACTAACTCAAGCGTACTGTACATAACAGCTGGGCAAGTATGAACATCTTTACCGTCACTGAAGTATCGTTCTACGTGTTACTATATGACGTTTTTCATAATACCGGGCGTCTTTTCTTCTTTTTCACAGTCGTTTATGTGATACATTTATTCATTTTGTATTCGTACTGCCTCTTTAAGTAAAATACTTATATTTTCACCCGAAGCGCGACCGGCGTTTATCAACACCGAAAATATACTATTTGTGAACCAAACATTTATTGGGCACCTTTCTCATCAGCAACGATCACTAAAATGACATTTTTGTGTGTACTTTTTACAGTTTTGTTATATTATTTGTTTTGTAAATGCTGCTGAATTTTACAAATTGATACACTTATATGTAGCCGCGGACTTCGACGGGGATACAGTAAAACATTTTTTCCCACAGTGTCACAGAAGTGTTACTAACCGATAGGGGGAGACAACAGCCCAGGAACTCACAAAAAGTTTCTGCAATGTTAGAAGCGCTTTCTGTTAGCAGTAGCCAAGAAAATCGACCCAAACGGCTTCAGGAATGTTCGCTACCATCGCTACTATTACTGCTACTAATAATAATTTGCCATCTTTGAGTCTCTTTGTCTTTCTCTCTCTCTTTATATGAAACTATATTATAAACATATGTTTAATAAAGTGTTAATTAAACTTTTAAATTAGAATTAATTTCGGGCGATTCCAGTGCATTGAAGAGTTTGGCACCCATTTTAATATTAGACTGCTATAACTACAGTATGTAAGGTACTCGCTGTCATGATTCAGTGTCCTTTAAACTTTAAAAATAAATGCTCGATAATCAATTGATCGCTTGATAAACACCGTACGGTGTGGTATGTCGTTTCCCGCATTAAAGCTGGTTAGGAAACACAGAAAGTTCTTAAGTGGTTAGGAATTTAAACATTTTCACGTATTTAATACCCCGTCAATTCAAGTAGTTGAAATTCGAGCAGGTTTCTCCTAATACTTGAATTAGGACTACGTCTGCAGCTACTGTAAGTCTACAAAATGACACAGGTAAATTATACTAAGTCTCAGATAATGTCATTACATGTCTTGCATATTCCCCTTCACATGCTTTGTTTATTGTGTCGTGAAAAATAATAATATTGCTTAAAATAACATGTTTTGGAAGCAAGGGGCATTATGTTTGCATAGAATTAAAACACTACTAACATATCTCACACGCACGTCAATATTGCTTTTTCAGGAGACCGGCAAAATTATACAAATTAATCCGTCTTAATTTGCAAATTGTTTACAAAAAGTTTTCAATGCAATTGAGCTTTTCTGTGCAAGATTAATGATACACGTCGTCTTAAAATATCCAAGTTGTTTAAGACGGGAGTGAGCAAGGTCCTGAATAAATACATAACCTTTAGAAAAACAAAGGCAAGTGAAGTCTCCAGCAGACAAAGGGGCTTCTTTAGGAAAGGTGACAAGATTATTTTTATGCACTACACAGAGAAAGTGTTTTTTTTTTTTTACTCGAGAACCTGTTTGTTTTTGTTACGTTGCTCGGCTGTGCTTTCTGAATCGAAGTGTCATTTAGCGCGCCGTGCTTGTGCTTTCTTGTGAGCTCGGTCATAAAACGGTGCTGCGCAGTTGCTGGTTCACGTTCTGTGTTAGGCCGTCTGGAGGTCGGGTGCGAGGCGCAAAGCCAACGCGAGCTACTGTAGACTGCAGGCAGAGTTGGTACATCGACCGTGCTGATCTGCCCCTTACCTCGACCAGCACACAGCAAAACACACACACAAAGCAGTGTCAGCCAAGTCCTGCGGAAACTCTCTTTCTGGATCCAGCTTGTAGTTTCGGTACTTTACCTTTACTGAGGTAGTAGGCTATGCACCTTGGAGTGTTCTCAAAACCTGTTGAAATTATATAATATCGAGTTTAAAGGGGCACGACACCATTTTATGTTACTATCAACACAAAGCAGCACATTGGTGTATTTTTTTCAACACGATAATGTGTTTCGGTAGCACAATCAAAGCTTTAATTCCTGAATTAATGATAAAATTACAGAACTATTGTTGAAGGCGATAGAAGTCCACAAACTGTAAGCCTTTTGACTGATACCAAGTTCCTTGCACACATCTATTGAATAAAGCATAAGCGCCAAATAACTGTAAATTCACATTCATATACAATGAACTAAACATATAGTAATTCAGATTTTAAAAAGTGTACTAACGAATTTCTGTCCAGTCCTCTTTAAACATAGACCCCTGTGTTGATCCCTTTTCAACACCAAATTATTACTGACACAAGTTAAATTGTACATTTCAGTACACTACTTACATAAGTGTATAGGTTTGAATACATACAGTATATATATACAGTATATTTACACATTAATACTAAACATCTAAACTAGATGTTTGTGTGTCACTGGGAAAGTGCATTCTTTACCGTGTGTGCTTTTTAGTAGAACTGAAAAAGAATTCAAATATTACAGTACATTCGAAACAGACAAAAAAATTGTATCTTTGAGTACGTCACCTTGAGTTGTATTATGACATTTACAATATCCCGAGTAAGCAGGAATTGGTGTATTAATGTCACTTTGTTCTGAACCTTACCAATTAACGATGTGCAGCGCTAGAACGGTGTTGCCGATCGAATAACTCAGTTCTGCAGAACCCAAAAACCTATTTTTCTGAACGCATAATGCCTGACAAAGTGCCGAAACAATCGAACTTACAGTAAATAACGCCACCTTGAAAATACTAAATTAAAATACCGTAATATTGCCTTTAGAAAATCTATAAAGTGGTATATGTTCAGAAGAAAAAAACGAAAAAAAAATAGTGTAGAGGTGATAACTGAACGTTTTGCTAAGCAAATAGGTACAGTATGATCTGTGTTTCGTTTCTGTATAATGCCAGTTAATAATTAAACATTTTATCACATAGACTTTTCTGATTTATGCGTCCCTTCTTTTAAGTCTATAGTTAATGAAAATTTTAAAGTTAAAATCAATTTTAGATATTGCGGAAGACGGGTTCTTACGACAAAATTTGCAGACTTGCTTAGTCCTGTTTAAAAACTCTAAATGCATTTTAAGTATTATCAAAGACTGGGATGAACCAGATTAAACGGAAGTTAAAGTATATTATTATGGTATATGAAAATGTTTAGTGGGTTTTCTGTGGTATTGGATATGCTTTTTAGGGAAAAAAAGTACATTCAAAATATGTCTACGTTTAAAACGTGTTTGAAGTGTTTCATCTGTTCATAGTCCTTGAATTGAATTCAGGTATCTAGGAAGTTATCTGATCAGTAAAGCGTAGGGGTACCTCAGCTGTCCGCGGGAAATTTTACCTTGTTATTGGGTATTCTTCAGCGCTTGTTTACACCCGGACAATAGCAGCTTTGTTATTAGAAAAGTCTCAGTCACTGATCTGGGTATTAAGCGGCAGAAACTAAATCTGATTCTTAGGTCTTTGCTTAATGTAGGCCTACACCATACAAGGACCAAACGGCTCAGTTTGATATTTTTAGCAGAGAGTTCTGTATAGTACAGTAGTTAACAACTCTTAGATTTCCCTGGTTTGGACAATTTAATGTATTTCTATGTACTGTAAACAGATGTTATATTGGTTTCATTTGCCTTTTATTATTAGAAAACAATAAAGAACAGACATAGGAATAATTTTTTTGAAGACATGTTCTGGAGTTTGCAAATGAATTAGTTTACGTGTTGTTTTGCAATATACAGTATGTAAACCCGTTTTACCATCCTACAGATGTCCCGGCTTAATGTTACGATGATAAGAACAACTCCCCTTATGCAGTTATATAGAGACAAAATGTCGATCATCATTGTACACCAAAGCCCCCTTTCCTCTCTGGAGAAGGATCAGATATCTTTGTCCCGTCCATTGTCCTGTTTTCATACAGCCTTAGACTGAAAACAGTTCTCTACCTGTGCAGATTCTGTGTTTGTAGCTTCTTGCTAATGTATATCGTGCAGTTGTTTATTTGGGTTAGTAAAGCTGTGGAAATGTGATTTTAGGTGTAATGTGGGCAGCATGTGTGCTTTCCTAGGCTACCTGAAGTTTTACATCTAATAGTTTACAGATGTCTCTTGGCAATTTCTCCTCTCTTTTTGCCCTCGAAGCCAGTATACTGCTCTTTTTAAGCAAAGGGAAACTCAGACTTCTGGATCTTGTAAAATTGTTTGTTTGTGTTACGTCAAAACCCCAAAAGCTGTATCAGTCAGTAATCCTATCTCCTGGTCAGGTTAATTATACTTCTGATTTATTTTTTAAAAATACATAAACTTATGCAAGACTTGATTTCTCTTCACCCCGCCTTTTGAAAGTTTATTTACACTGGACTTATTTATTTAAGATATTCACATTTTAACCACTTTTAGTACAAACAGAACAGGAAATTTCCAACTTTTTGTCAACACTGTCTTTGTTGTAAAACAGGTCACAAAAAGATAATAGCATGTGGCTTTTGAATTTTTCTAAATGTAAACTTGTTTGAAAGCATATTCTGAAATTTCTCCTGCATAAGATGAGCTGTGGAACCCCAGATGCTTCACTGTAAAAAATGTAGTTGTACTGCTAAGGTATAATTAATGGCAACCACGCCCTCGTCTGAAATATTTTATATCAATTTACTCCGCTTTAAAGATAGTTTTCAAGTAATATAAACATTGTAAATAATGTAAAAGTACAGTCCATATATCATTGAAAGATAAATGTTATACATTTAATATTCCACACTACTGGGCTAATCAGTGCTGATGTTTTTTAAAAACTGAATTTACTGTAAATTTCAGCTCTGACTGCAAATTGTAATATACTAGTGGGACATGGAAGTTTGTACATACATGTTTATAGGGCTCATTAAACACAGATTAAAGAACTGTAACTCAGGTCATCACAGAAATAAGATATAAGATATAGTTTAAAATTGAAATGCATCTGAAAAAAATTAAGTACTGGATGCCTTCAATTAAAAATGCATCTGTTTCAGAACGGATTTTGCTGACCACCTGCAATATGAAGAGTTCGTTGAAAATTACACCTGACGCGCAGGTAATAATTCAATACAGATGGGTTGTGTTTCTTTGTTCAGAATAATCTTGGGTAAACTACACCTACGTGTCAGACTGTCAGAAATAATAACGTTTCTTAACGCAAACATTATATCAAAGAATGAGAAAAACATATGGCTGAAAATGTACATGTACTGTATATATTTTTTACTCCCCCACAAAAATAAAATACTTGCATTGAAATTGCTAATCTCTGATTGATTTTTTAGTTGAAAGCTTCTGATATTAAGATATGAAGTTTCAGACTGGCATGGATTCAAATCACCCTGAAATTTGCCATGTGATCTGAAGCACATTTAAAAGTGCACAGTTCAGGCCAGGGTTTTTGTTGAGTGATAATTAATGTGGAATGGTTTGTAGAAACTGTAACACAGCTCTACATTAAATTAAAAATAATATATAGATAACAATGATACATAATACAGGGGAAAGTGTAATGTAAAACCTCTGTATGTCTATTTTATTTTGTTATTATGGTTAAACAACAATCGTAAGATGTTAAATTTTACACACTTAAAAACACAATTTCTTAACCGGCTGCTACAAAAATCTGATGGGCAGTGATAACAGTGGTGAAAAAGTGTAAGTGAAAAGGAGCATCAGTGAGCACCAGTGCAAGCCAATTAGATGGCTTGAGAGGTGAACTCAGGAACATTGTGAGAGCTGGAACATTATCTTTCTCTGCTTCCACGAACCATTGACTGACCATTGATTTTTGATAAGAGGGTTTAGATTAGAACAGTCAGGCCATTTGCAAATGAAATTAACATGATTTATTTATCATCTTTAAAGATGATTAGGGAGAGCTTTCAGCTGCCTTACTCCACAACTCTGGAACTTGCTCCCTGTCAATCTGAGAATGTAAGCTCTTACAGTTTTCAACTCTAGACAAAAAAGACTTATATATTTTGTCAGGCTTTTAATTAGTGTTTGTCTTTTCTCATTTTTCCATGTTTTTTTTATTTCTATCATTATTGCTGTTCAATGCTATTTGGCTTTTTTACCCAGTTAAGTGCCCCAAACACTGTTGGTGTATGTGGGCACTAAAATAAATTTGACCAAGATGGCAGTCTGCTGTCAGGCCAATGACTGAACGCATGCATAGGACACATATACTGTAGGGCATGCTACTGAGACTTGCAGAGCACAGCTCTTTTGTTTTCTTCTAAAGAAATACAAATCAGTATCAATGGGTAATATTCTTTGATTATTCAGTCAGAAGACACACAAATGAATAATCCTACGATTTTTGCATAGAGTGTTAATAAGAACTTTTTGGAGAAAGCCAACTCCTAAACTACTAAAAGAAAAAATCTTATAGCCATTGGAAAAGCTGTGGCCCTTGCTACAACTATGGGCTAAAGAAATCCTACAGGATTTTTATGTGAGGCTTCAGTTTTTCATGATGTGTTTATAGTGCTGTCCTGTATTTTGACAATCTTTAACAAAAGCAATGGTAGCCATAAAAGAAACCAAAGTTAGGAACAGAGCTAAATAATTTACTTCAGGACATGTAAGAATTCCCGAATACAACACTGTGTAGTGGCAAGCTTGTTTTGAATACAACTTCCCGGCACATAATTTCATTTACATCCTCCCTTGCCTCACAGGGGTTATGACCCCATGCATTAATTAAAATCAGGCCTTGATTAGCCTGTCAGCTTCACCTGTAATTATAGCTTTCAGTTTCAATCATTCACTGGAAGTTCTGTGAGTTCTAACTACCCTGCTTTTTAACTAGATGGTGAAAGATTTCCTTCTGCAATCGCCATGCTCTATTTGAGATCCTATAGAAACCACAAAACTTACCAGTGGTAATGGAAATACAATAACAATAGGATAAGTAGGAGACTGTTGTTTCTTGTTCGTTCACAAGCAAAAAGGCATAATTACTCTGATTTAAATAATCATCCACGAAATATGATCTTAATACCCTGCTGTATGGTTTTCCAGTCTTTGAAAAGGTTCTAGTCTTGTTCCAGGGCTAAATTGGGCCTCCAGCCATTTCTTTTGTGTAGTTTGTACAAACTGTACTTCAACTGCATTTCGCAAGAGCACTCCTGAGGATTGCTGCTTTTAACAGATTTAAATAGATGTTTACACATCATTGACTGTGTAGTTCTCCCCTTAAATTTTGGTTAACCTTTCTTTACAAGCATATATTTTTACCTTTTTCTTCAGCTTAAAAAATATTTTTTCAAGAAGCAATACAAACAATTCGCTTTTGCCGACATAGAAATGAAGCTATTTTATTATTATTTTTAATTTTTCTATTTCTTTTCTATTCAGAATCACCAGTTGAAGCAAAAACTGATGTTCCAATTCTAAGGCCTGGAATGGAAAAGGGAATGTTGCTATCAAGGCCTTCCAACACAGAGGAAGGTGCATCTCAAGCATGATTTTGGCCTTTTCCAGATTTACAGTAGTTAAGCTTGCTGTGTTTTGTGGTCAAGGGGACCAGTATGCTCCTGGAAGATGCATATCCCTGCGTGGTGCTTGTGTGCTGGGCTGCTGCTCACAGACTCAGGGCTTGGGAAACTTCTCAGCTTGACTTCTAACTGCAGCGTAAAAATTCAAGGCAAACACTGTGAGTAAACTGCTAAATCATGTCTTAGATCCCTTCTGCTCTCCCGGATTCCTCTCTGAAATGTTTAACCAGGACATTTTTCTGTGTGTATGTCAAAAGTTTTAAATTGTCCCAATAAAGGATGCCCTAGGTGTTTTTCCTCTCCCTGAACCCATTCTGAGTGATATTACTGTACTTAATTTTCCTTATGGCTTTATTGTCTTAATTATGTTATTGAATATATAGTAATAAGTTTAGTTGCACATTTATGTAAATTTACAGTAAAGTAGTCTTGCCAGCACTAGTTCACGTTTATGAATCCACAATAATTAACTGTGATTTCTAACATTCAAGTAAAGTCTTGTTTGTTTTGCCAAAAAAAAATTGACACTGATTTTTAGTACTCCACGTCTGTGGCTTTCATTTGTGACCATTCTTCTGAGTCCAGTTTGGGAAACTGACTGCCCTTTTAAAGGCATATACAGTATAGTATGTTGAGCTCAGTGTGTGTGTGCTGCTGCTGCTTCTGTTTGTGTTTACTAGGTCCAATGAGTCATGAGGACTTTCCAAGTGTAAATACCTTGTTTGCCTAACCCCTGACATAGGGCTGGACATTGGCTGCTGATGGAAGATGAAGTAATGGGAAAGGGGCAGTGGGGCACTGCGTGGGAACTAGAGGAACAAAGCTAGGTAAGGCCACCTGTGCTGGATAACAGGGCTAATGTAAAGAACATTAGCAGATCTCCGCCTCTCAGCAGTAGCAGCTATTTAGCCCATAAATCTGATCCCCCCTATCGAGTCGTGACAGCTCCAACCACCCCCATCTCCCAATCCTCTGTGCCCCTTCCCTATCTCCTGGTGGCTGAAGTTATTTCAGACCAAGTTGAGAGTCCTGACAAAGCATGGTCAGGGCCACATCTTGGAACATAAAAGTGGTGACAGCAGCAGGGCGAGAGTCTTATAGCCCTTTATATGGTTGGGAAAAGCAATAGGTTGTTAAATTTGCCCCGGTTTAAGCCCCCATGAAGAATTAATGGAATTCTACCCAGTTCCGCGGCACTGTGATAAATAACAAAGGGGCAGAAGAGCAAAAGCTAGCTTTTCACCTGTCTAACGCTTTCCCTCACAACTGCCAGTTTACCAAGATAATGCAGCCGGGTGGGAAGGGCACAGCTACAGTACAGTACCTATTGATGTGATTTCCTTCTGACTATGAACATTTCAGGGAAACTTTAAGATTATGCCAGAGGAAACAATTACAGACATTAATTCTAGAATATACATGAGAATTCTCAGTCTTTTTTGTTTTTCGTGTTTGTTCATGGGATTATTTGCTCTTTATGTAGGTTATTACTTACTATTCTGTTATTATTCCTATTTTTCCAACCCACTCACTGTGTCTGGTATAAGCATATAAATAACAATAGAAAGATTTGCATGACTTATTTTAAATAATTAGTTTAATGATAGAAATCCAAATGGTAAAAACATGCTGTACCCATCAGAGAATCCTGATTTATTGGGCTGATTGGGTGTTTGCCTGGCCAGATCAGAGCACTTGGGCACGGTCGCCTGTTGACACGTAGTATTTTGTTCTGGGTAAAGTTTAAACAAGACTTATCACACCCCTGACACCATCAGAAGGCAGGACTGATTTAAGAGTATTGCTTTCTCGCGCCTTTCTAAAATGCCTCCTACTTTCAAAACTGTTCCAGTTCCCACTGCACTGTCAAAATGCTAGGCAGAGGAGTTTGCTTTAAGTAGGAGAAAAATTCAGTAAATGGGCAAAAAAAACTCCTGCCTGTAGAATCATGTACTAATGTTGAACATATAAGCTGAACTATCCAGCTTTAGGTGCTATAAAATACTTTTTGTAATATTCCAAATATATATAATATTAAATATACACAGTAAATATTCCTCTTACATCTAAAAAAATCACTGGAATATATCTTTAAAACATGAAAAGGAATTGAAATCTCGCAAATAAGGCCCCTGGGAATTCGTTTTCACAAGAAGGATAGTGCTATGTAAATACCTCACTTATCGTTCATTAGAAGAACAATGGCTTCCAGCGACAAGTCTCTTAATTCAAAGACAAATATGAACCTTCTTGTGTGCTTATAGTTAATTGCAATTGAAAGTAATCGTTTATCAGTGGGTGGTAAGTGCAACTGTTATTAAGCGAGTCAGTAGTTAACATCCAGAGCAAAAACTAGCTGAGTATCTTAGGCAGCATAATGGATTTTAAGATTGAATGTCCTCTGATTAATCACACAATGTTTCAGGGATTTATGAAATACCACTAACAGACAGAAGCATTAGAAGTTTATTTATGTGCTGTGTAACCTGCTGTACCTTGATACAATTTATACTCATTTCCTCTAAGGTGCTGTAAATTCCTGAACTTTTATCTTTTCCTTTTATTGCGTGGTTTAGATCTGGAGATAGCACAAATCTCTTTCCTTCTCAGGTTTGGCTTTCTGGCAGACTGAGGTTCATTTTGGGCATACAGTTAGGGCATCTGTGGGAAAAAAAATGCATTCCTCCTCCTAAGAAGACTAATTGCTCTAGCTGAACTGACATCCCACTTTCCCAATGGCAATGGATCACAGCCTCTGTGAATATGGTACAAGCAGAAGCTCCTTATTGCATCCGTGCCGAAAACTTAATTAATACTCAAATTAATTCTGAAATTGCAGTCTGTAGACATTGAAGTCAATGTGTACACACTGGAATTAATAATTAGTTACATGTAAGGAAATGATAAGTCCAGATAAGTGGAAGATGCCCAAATTGTGGTGCTGTAATTAGTGGAGTACCTCATGGATCTGTATTAGGACCACAGCCAATACGTATATTGACAAACTATATCCTGATATTGTTGAAATTAACTCTGTTTTGCAGATGATAACAATCTAGGCTGATCAAACACTGTTAATCCAGAACTGAGCTAACATAGACATTTCATATAGACAAAAGATGACAAACCGGCATTTAACATGTTTCTCGTATCTTTATAAATAATGCTCATAACGGCTTTCCCCACCTGTCAGAGTCCTTAATCTTTGGTTTTCAAACCAGAGTAAACAGGATTTTCAGACATTTCTTCTACCATTAAAGGTTACTCAGCTGAAGGAATTTCAAGTTACAAGTTACAAGCTTTTTCTTGAAAGATTTCCATTCAAGAACTTTGGTTCAAAAGTATACTGATTCAGGAGAGACAGAGGAGTTCAGTTGGCTTTTACAGTATGTGTGTGTTGACATGTGAGGTACTTCATTCACATTCAGCAATTCACAAATGTCCGCTGTTATTAAACTTTAAAAGAATTGAATAAGGGCTGTCACTTCTGTAAATAGGTCATACCACTGTTAGGTCTTGTAATCTTATTGTTTTTGAAAGCATGTCACATTTGGAGCATGTGAACTATCAATAAATTGATTATGCATTTAGCTTATCTTTTTCAGTACAATGTATTCAATGGTTTCTCTCTTGCTTAATTATAAATAAGGTGTATTGATGGAGGGGGTTGAGCGATGTTCAACTGGTGCATGAAAATCCATTTTAAGTTTAAGATGTTTAGCAGACATAAATGGCCAGAATTAATTAATCGACAAGTTCACAATATGTCTAATTTATTTGATTAGAAAGATGGTATTAGAGATAGATTTGCAATATGTTTCATTTCAACAACAAAATCTCCATAATTGGATATTAGAATAGTTATGTTGAGGTGCTAGCTGATGGTAAATTCTTTGCAGAGACATGACAATATGATCATAACTGATCAATTTATTGCATATTTGTACAACAGTGTATCTCAGTATACAGTTTCAGTGGTAATATTGAGGATTGATCATACTTGTTTTAGTATTATGGCCAAATATAGCTCACCTCTGTCCTGAACTGCTGTGTGTAGATCATATTTCAATGCTGATTGTGATGTATATTGTACAGTCTTGAGCTTGAAAGTAGAGTTACATATTTCACACTGAAGTTCATGTCTGGTAACAAGAATCTTAAGTCTACAAATTTAATGTTGACTTTTGTATCATTCCAAATTGCATTTTTAACCTTTTTAAGAGATGACAAAGTCATAGTGTTCAGGCATTTTTGTTGGTGTTATCTGGTACTGTATAGTTGCAAAAAATAAAGATGGTAATGATACAATTCAGCTCTTTTCAAATGGCCCATCTTGACTATTTTTATTTCATCCACATTTTGTTTTCAGTTACAGCCATGATGTTTGATTATCTCTGAGAATCTTAGACTTCAGTGCATAGTTGTATCGGTAAGCATATTTAGTACAGTATATAACTTTAATGCTTCCATTCATTTTCTAACTGCTTTTATCCAATACAGGGTAACTGGGGAGCTGGAGTCTAACCTAACAAGTAACAGACACAAGGTGGGATACTTCCTGGACAGGATGCCAGTCCACTGCCAGTCCATACTTTAATTTAGTATTTAAAATACATTTGATACAAACTAGAATTCAGTGCAACTGAATTCACAAAAATAATCAAATGCAAATTTAACTGCACAATTAGGATTGTGAAAATACTTTCATCTCACTGCAGTTAGTCAGTAGATGTGCTTTCATCCCTTCTAAATATGCTCCTTTGTAGTTAAAATATACAATAGGTAACAGGAAAACAACCTAGTTGGGTACAGTAGAAAGTTTGACACAATATATTGAAATTGAAATCTTATTACATCTCATCAGACACCATTACTGACATAACAGCTAAAATAATACATACATACTGTACTAATCTAATTCTAATTGTCTTGGTTTGGTGGGGGAAGAACAAGCATTTAGTATGCTATATCTGTCTGATCTGAGGATCCTTCCAGAGTTAATCTGATTCTAAAAAACAAAGCAGCCCCTGTCAGCAACAGTTCACTGCAGCCCTCCTTTGCTTAGTGTGTGTCTTGGACAAGTCCGCTGTGTGCTTCTCGCTGACTCAGTCTCCCTCTCTGTGCTCACTGATCCCCAACCAGACTCAGAAGGAAATTACAGTTTAGGTCTCAATGATGTCATTCCCCCTTTTTCTTTTTTTCGGGCACCTGTATTTCGTGCCTTAGGGTGTAACTCCATGCAGTTTTATTTTTTTTTCCTATTTCTTTTCCATGTAACGAAAGCGAGATTTCTAAATATAGCCTGTTATGTCACATTGACGTAAGTTTGAAAGTCTGGCGACTTTGCTATTAACCACTTCCTTCAAACAACACACTCCAAAATCTCTATAGGTGCTGTGCAATATTTTAACTTCCTTATTTACTACACAGTTACTCAATAATGTTCATTCATGTCATGCTATAAATGTTTATACAGGAAATGTATATGTATACATAAGTGTAAATAGACAGTGACTTCTTTAGGTCTTTCACAAAGGGTTTATGTACTGTAGTGGTGCATCAAAGTAAGAACTAGAATTTAATGTACAGTATTAATTAATAATGTAATAATGTTGAAATTTTAAAACAAAACAGCATTTACGTTTTGACAGGTATTGCATAGCAGATCCCTGTACATAAATCTGTAATTGCTTATAAATGTCTAAAGTGTTTAAATACTGTATGTGATGTGTACAGATATGAAACCTTTTTTTAAAGAACATAATGGAAGAATGTAAGTACAAATCTTTTTTTGTTGGTAAATATAACTTCTTTATTTTGTGGCTTA